GGTTTCTTGGCTTGTGTTTGTTTGATTGGTTTTGGGTTTTCAGTTTTTTTTTTTTTTTGAATTCGAAGAAATACATTTTTTTTTGAATTTAGGTTTTTCATTTTTCATTTTTTTTTTCGTGGATCCTTTATCTTTATTTTTTTTGTAAAAAATTAATTCTTTTTGAGTAATCGAAATCAATATTATTAAGTTGGATAAAAATGTCGGATAGCTATGATGGTAGTACTTTTAATGCATTTAATACACGATGACTCTCGACAAAAAAAGTAGAAAAAAAAGAAAATATAATGATAATAATAATAATAGAGTGTTTACAACTTTTTAAAGGTAAGACTCGTCAATCATGCTTGTTTATTCAAAGGACATGAGTGGGATCTGTCACTGAAGAGCCATCCACCACTAGATTGCTGTGTGGTAATGTGAATACCATGTACATAGGGTGGCCATTCTCAGTCGAAAAGTACATGTAAAATAACGTGCTCTCAGCTAACTCGATCTGCTAGGTTTGCTAGCCAAAGCCAACGCCCACCTATCTCCCAATTTCCATTTCTCTGAGGCAATGATTTAGCCATGTTTTGCCTCTTAGAGATGATGAAAATAGGTAAGTATATAGAAAGTTTATTAATTAAGAAAATGATTATAAATTTTTATCTTCTTTATAAATAAAGCCTTAGGTTCTTGGATTAGGAGGTATATCATTCAAGTTTTGCTTTCTCCCTTTTTCTTCATCTTTTTCCTTTGAATCATTGTGCGGGTAGAAATTAATTTCATTGTGGTCCATAGGCATAGGTAAATATATAGATTTCGCTTTCATATAAAGACCCCACCTTGTTTAAAGAAACACCATGATAATTATCACATGAATGGATTCCTATTTTGTTATTGTTTTCTTCCTTTTTAAGCTCACCAACTATCAACAATCGCTCTATCAATCTATCTAAACCTTTCTAATTGTAAATATGGTCAATTAGTGCATGGTTGAAAGTTCCTTATCTTCAAATTAACTTCATCAAAAACCTTGAAAATTCTAATAAATTATAGAAATAGTAGAGTAAATAGCAACAAAGTCTTTAAACTTTGAGCCACACATAACACTTTGGTCTCTATAATGGTTACTTGTAAGTCATTATACATCTAATATTTCAACAAAAATTCATTCTTTCAATATTTCTGTTAATTCCACCTGTAAACATTTGTTGATGACATGCATGATGTGTTAAAAACTTGAATATTTGGATTTTTATTTTATTAATTTTCTAGAACAGTATTACATGCACTCATTTCACATTCTCACTTCTTAATCTAGTGACTTAATTGAAAAGAGCTAAAATTGTTTTGGGCTATAATAGAATTTTGAAAACTTGTATGTGAATTTTGAAAGTTACTAAAATTGTTATGAGCTCAAACACATAGTGCAAATGAAAATTTAAGGTCATGCTTATTAGAATTATAGACAGAAAATTTATTTCATTAAAATATTAAAAATATAAAGATTAACAAGTGATTTTTGAAAGTACAAGGATTAAATTGATATTCATCTAAAAATTTAGAGATAATAAATACTATTTATTACATACAATATAACAATAACACTAGTTATGAATTATAATGATGCTAATTAATTAAATAGTATGAGCGGGTTCTTGCCAAAAAAAAAAGTACCAGCAGTTCCATCATGCTAGCCATTGTTAAGAACAAAGCTATTTTAAAGCTTAATACATAGTAATTAGTAACAATACAAGTTTATCGAAAACCAAGTAATTAATTTTGGAAAAAAATAATCTTGACATAGTAAGTTTTAATTTATTTATGTTGGTTATTTTAGAAGAGTGTAGAATCTAAAATGGGAATTATTTTTTACTTTTTGCTTTTAGATGCATGTATGTTAAGAAACAAAGGTCAATTATCAAGAATATTTGGTAGCATGGTGGGGGTATCACAAGAAATTATTTAATTAGTAACCAAAATTTTTTTGAATAACTTAACAATATTGTAAAATATGTCTTTTATTCAACATAAAAAGTCTGCAATAGGTTATTATCAACTATATTTTCTAACTTGGGAGATAACCCTCCTTGTCTCACAGGTTCGTACCTTATTTAATTTATGATGTGAACTTGATGCCTCTAAAATGAAATCTAAAGCTCCAAGTGTCCAGTTCAGTTGATGTTAATGTAAGGGAAAAACAACTAAAACTTTACTACTTTCTAGCATCCAGCTAGCTAGAGTCAACTTAGGTCCAAATCAATCAAATTCTCATTGAAAATACAAACCATCTTGAACTATTGGCATTTCAAGGACACATGGGAATCCAGAAAATTCGACACGCAATGACATAGAAAACTCTGGCATTTTTCGTAGAACATTGCTTTTGATAGATTTAATTATTTGTATATTTATATTATATAAAATATTAAAATTTATATATTTATATTGTATTTTATATAAAAATTATATATTATAATTTATATTAATATAAAAAATATATTTAATTTTATTAAATTTATATATAATAATTATTAAAATTTTAATTTTTATTATTTTTATATTTTATTTTCATATTAAATTTATATTATATAATTATATTAAATTTTAAATCGTTAAATTAAACATTTAATTAAATTATAACGGTGAATAATTGATTGATTTAATTGATTAAAATTTATTTTTTTTAATAAAAAAATTTAAGTTCAAATCTTGTTAGAAATAGCTTGTTAGGGTTATCTCTGATTTTTAGTAATCTATCTTAAATTATTAAGTATAATATATTAAATAATTTATTTATATTAAATTTTTTCTAAAAAAAAAGAAATAGTATTTTCTAGCATAAATGAATTGAAACATGTGATTTTTGTAAGGAAATTTGGTGGTTGGTACACGCCCAATATAAAAAATTTTCTGGACCCATTCTCAAGAAAAAAGATTGATATGTTTTTACTTTAAATGATTTTGTCCCTCAAAACAAAGGACTACACAAATTTATTAACGTTTTCACATGGAAAGACGTTGGATCCTTAACGTTACTGTCTAATCAGAAAGAACAAAAGCCAGACAGCTCCAAAACACAGGTCAAGAAAGCTCAGCAGTTGATTACTTTTCCTGTAACTCGATGGATTGGTAAAAATGCATCGAATGTAACAGTGATTCTACCTCAACGAAAATTACTCACTTTTCAATTCAATTAAAATTTTATAATAAATAAATATTATATATAAATTCTTTTTCCTGATTTTAGTGGAATTTTCTATGAAGACTCGTGATGATTTTGTATGAAGAAAATACGATAATTTCTCAACTATGGTGCCTAAAATTATTTGCCAACATCAATTTCTATAGGCCCATTTGGTTTCTTGTTTGATTTGGGGCATCTGAAAAGTTGTGCTGGCCCGTTTGCCCCATCCAAAGATCAAGCTTTCCTTAACGCTGGACCTAAGGTCCGACCCATTTTTTAAATGGGTCTAATTTTTTTTTTAATCTAAATTTGTTTAATGAATTTAATATTTTCGTCTAAAATTTCCGCATATTGACAGATTCTTGGACTTGAGCGGGTAGCTTATCCTTGGATAGATTTACATTTGTAGTAGGTTTTAGCTAAATGTATTATTTTTTTATTAAATTTGATTACAATAGTGCATTAAATGAAAAAAATATTATTAACATAAAATTTTAATTAACCACAAACACTATAAACATCTATTAAAAATACCTTTTATTTTTTTTTAGAAAACAAAACACATCACTGGTTAAATATGATAAATTTAACATTATACCAAACTTTTTTTTTGTATTATAAATTATTAGAATTTAAACTCTTATAATTAAAATTAAAAGTCCAACATTTTATTAACAAATCAAATAACCGTTAGCATCAAATCATTTTTTCATATATTTGAATAGTCACCTCCAATGATTTAGCAACTACTTCAAAGTCAAAAACCTAACACCAACCATAGCTGACATTTTCCACAAAATTATACAAGGCCGGCTCCTGAATGGGCCGGTCAAAGGCAAGACCTTAGGATGGAGAATTAAAAATAAGTCTATATTATAACCAAAAATATTCAAATTCCCACATGATTTTTGACTTTCTCATGGATTAATTTCTTCATTTACTAGAAATTAAATTTTAGGTAAGTTTTGTAGTACTAAATTTGACCACCTACAACCAAGAACTTCTGCTTTCCTGCCATGGCAATGTGGATTATGCGTCGGCTTAATCAATATAATATATGACAATTACAGATAAAGCTGCTAAGGAATATAAAATAATAATCTAATTTATATTGGTTAATATTGTTCGGATGAATCTTTTTTGGAGAATAAAATATAAATGGATGAAGAGTTTTAAAGAATTTATTAACAGGTTGCGGCAAAGGCAAAAGTTCGTGCAGCTTTGCTGCAAGTTTCCATTTTAAGATGAGTTTTCTTGTTTATAATTTTTCATGAATCAACAAATATATTTTTCAAAATAATTTGTTACGATCTCTACATAAATTCTTTTTCTATTAAATGGTAAAACGTTCTTGAATTTTGTTTAATACATCTTTTCTTTAATCTGATCCATATATAAGTCTCTTTTGTCATCATCACTTTCTAACACAATCTCCTTTTTTTTTTGTTATAGTATTTGAGTAATTCCTCTTGATTAATTCTCACACATAATGATAGATTATAGAACCCATTTTGTAATAAATAATGAATTTTTTTAATAATATAATTATGTAACATAATATAATAAAAATAATATATAACGTGAAATAAGTGTTTCATAATAGTTTTTTTTTTCTTGTCGTGTATCAAATTTGAAAAGGCAAAAGGAAACTTAGGTTCAAAGAATCTGATTCTATATTAAATATAGATGGGGTGTGATGACCAGATGCAAGCATGGAACCTTGGTAGCACCTTGAAAGCAAAGACAAGACGACCTAACAAAGCCAAGGACGGCTACCTAACGACAAAACTGCATTCAACGCTCTCTCTTCCACCTAAAATCCTAAAGAAAAAACGATAAAGAAACTACAGGTGTTTCTATATAAATAAATCAGCTGACTTTAACGACCTTCAGCTCAATCGAATATCTTCATTCAGAGCTTACTCATACCTCAATCTTGTCTTTCGTTTCTGAAACAGCCATCAGCAGGTTCGGGGGCCATCCCTGCACATTTGGCAGGAATCGACGGATTTGCCTTGATTAGACTGCAGCACGTTCATATGGCGATTTCCATGCAAATGAATATCAATTTGAGCAAAATGGTTTCAACAACATCAAAATTCGGGTTCAAGCAAAAGCCTTATAATAACAAGGTTCAAGCTATATCATGTAGGGCTGATAATTTAGCCATGCAAAGAGGAAAGAGCAACTTTTATGAAGTTCTTTCTCTTGATTCTGAGAATGTAGGTTTAGCTGAAATAAAGAAGGCTTATAGAAGAATGGTTCTTCAATACCACCCCGATGTTTGCCCTCCTTCAGCCAAAGAAGAATCCACAAAGCGATTTCTTGAGCTTCAAATGGCTTACGAGACACTTTCGGATCCAGTTTCTCGTAAAATGTATGATTATGACTTGGGTTTGGTTGATCCAATTGGGTATGGAGTTTGGAATTGTTTGATGGAGGAAAGAAGATCAAAATTTCCCAGAGACGCTTGGGAAAAACAAGTCGATGGACTGAAGAAACGATCTCATGTTAGAATGCAGAGGATGAAAAATAGGTCGCGGCAGAGATAATTAAAGATGAATTTGGTTTTTTTTTTTTATAATAATTTTTGTATTAATTATTTTTTTCATATATATTAATTTTCATAATTTATTAGTTTTCTTCTTTTTGTGGAAATATCCTTCTTTTTTTGTTTCATACAATTGACAATTAAGAAATTAAGGGTTTGTGTTAATTAATTCAGCACGTGGGCGGCATATTATATTATAGAAAGAGTTTACATTTAATGCACTATTAATGAATTACATAATATTATATTATATAAAATTTTTTAAAAATATTTTATATATTAAGTATCTATGTTTTTAAAATTTTAAAATTAATTTTTAACAAAATATTATTATATAATTTACTGACAATATATAATATTTATATATTAATAATATATATATCAAATAATACTAAATACTATATATATATATATATATATAAAAGAGCAGCATATTGGTAAGAAAAGACTAATCCAATTCCCCGTTTCCCTTCAATCTTTTTAACTTTCTTAAAAGGATGGAACTATTCATATGGGTCATGGATTATTTCTTAAATTGGCAGGCCAAGTTATATATTATGCAATTATATTATTTAAAAAATAATTATTTATTATACATCACTTATGATAATTAAATGATAAGTATTTATTTTAATAGATTAATTAATTATTTTATAATAAATAATTAATTTATCTAATAATATGATTATATGACATGATTTAAATGAAAGGAATATATGTTAACGTAACATAATTGTTTCATGCAATCATTTCTCATGAACAAGATATACCATTAGAATAAAAAAAATCTAAAAATATGAAATTACCTTTTAATTTGTTATAATATTTAAAAATAAATCTCAATTAAAAATTTAATATATATGATTTTAGACTATTTTTTATATATGAAATTATCACAAACTGAATCATTATTATTAAAACTAAGAATTTAACATTTTATTAATATATAATATATCAACTTTGGATCATTTTTAGGCTCCAAAATAATTCTCTTATTTAATGAATCTTGTGCTCTCCTCAGGAATTCCAATCTCAAAATTTCAAGTTTGAGATCGGAGCTCTTGATTTCTAATTATAGTCTTGATGACAAAGAGTTCCCAACCAAATAATTATCAAATAATAAAACCAATGGTAAAAGGCTAAGTTTGTGCCAAGTTGCCTAAAACAAGGCTGACAATAAAAATCCTTAATTTGGGCGTAATTGTATCAATTCTCTAACTTGAAAGCTTGTGAGCTTGCTTATCCTTAAAGTGATCTTCATTTCTTGTATTCGTCGCCATAGTCGACAAAAACTCTAGCAACAAGAAGCAAATGTAACAAAATGTAATAAATTCTTAGAAGAAAGCTTCATCTGTCTCTTTTTCTTTCATTCCAATCAAAATTGTGGGTCTTATTTGAAAAAAAAAAAAGTATAATGTGTTTTAGTATAGGATACAAGATCAAGAAGGGAAAGCAAGTTCGAAAGAAGGAAAATGAGGGAGATGATGAGGAAAGCAAAGGCTTGTTATTGAAAGAAATTGAGAGATGGAAGAGGAAGAAAGAGATATCCAATAGAGAAGATGCAGCCTTGTCGACTTCGGCCATTACTCCTGCCGATTCCAACCATTGATTCTTCATCAAATGTGAGTGTGTTTCCTTTCAATTTTATTTCATGTGTGAAGAAGATAATACCTAAAAACGCTTCTTCTTAATTATCAAGACAAAGACGAGCTCATGGAAGAGTATAAAGAGATGCATGGACTTGGTGGAAATCCCATTAAAACCCTCTATAGAAAAGCTGTAATTAAAGAGATGTGGTTATGTTCAAATCACCTAAAGTTCTCCTTAGCAAAATGTCTACGTTGCTTTAATTAACATATACATGTGCACAACTATCTTTTAGGGTTGAAATTTCTATCTATATATTGTGTTCTATTGGCTAAACCATAAATATAAATAAATAAATATATATATTTATATAATGAAGATACTAATCCTTTCAATTTGTTTATGTTTCATTAACTTTTTAGTCTTTCTACTCATAAATTAACACTCTTTTTGACAAAAAATCTTATGAGTGATTGATTTCGCATTGCATTGGGTGAGGAAACATCACGCCTAATTGAATGAACTAGATAAAAGAGAGATGCACTTGATTAAGTGTATGCAATTTCTTGTTTAAAAAACTAGATTTTGATCTCTTTTTTTTTTTTTCCCCAAATCAAAAGAAAAGAAACTCAGATGGATTTAATAACATTTAAGTATCATAATAAATTACTAATTAATTTTTGAATCAATTGATATTATGAGAATTGACGCTTGATAATATAAATTCAAGAAAATTTATGTGCCTAATGTCTTCTACAATCTAATAAATAGTAAGATAAAAAAGATTTTAAAGTATAAATTAGGAACTTAAAAAAATATATATATATCTTAATATGTTGGAGAAGATAATGATTATGGTTTCATTTGAGATTACGATGGTTAGAGGTCCAAATAAATTTTAAAAAAAAAGTAAAAAATAAGAATATTTAATATAAAAAGTTTTTTTTTATGAGAATAATAGTTCATATATATATTTTTTGGTATTATGAATGTTAATCTCATATCTCATAGTGGTAAAGGCCAAAAAACTTTCTAGGATGTGTAACAACTATATTAGAATGCAAAATTCAAACCCATGAAAAAAAAAAAAAAGAGATTGAAAATCGAAAAAATAGACGTGGGTCTAAATGCCCATGTCATTTAACAATACGAACCACAATTGGGCTTCAAAAAGCCCAAATGGATTATTTTTTAATTTCATTGTCTAATTGGGCCAGACATTGAGGAGGAAAAGCAATGGCCCTAGCAAAAAAATCCAAGACGTGTGGCTTTCATTTATTTATTTATTTTCAGTACCTAATTTTGCCAATATCCATGATTCTTAAGAGTGATTTGTCTTTGTCGTTGGCAATCTTAATTTCAAAACAACCATGATTCTTAATTTTTTGTCCTCATATTTCTAAATGCTAAACATAGTAATTATTGATTAAAAATAACTAAATGGCAGTGATTTGTTATTGATAATCTTAATACCAAACAACAATGATTCCTAATTTTGGTCCTCATATTTCTAAATTGTAAACAAATTAAATATTTTTATTTCAATATGATTATTTTTATATTTATATTTATATATATGAATTTGGATTTTGACCCTTGGTGGGAATGAGAAGCAAGCACCATTTTTAATGAAGGAATAAAACAAAGGAGCATTGCCCTTTCACAACCAAGATCATGCTGGTGTTGTCACTTGATAATAATAATAATGATGATGGTAAAAGTTACCCGCAAATGATTCTAATGAACAAAACACTAATGTTAATAATTAATAATTAATTAATTTATGGGCATCCTCTTTTAATTTCGTTCGCCAATTTGTTTGTTGAGCAAAGGAATAATTGACTTTTGAAAATATAAAATATATCAACCACTAGTGTTGTTCACTAAAAATGCTAGTTGTATGTGAACATTATTTTATGAGTTTATATTTGATACATTATTATTATATAAATTTTATATACTATTAATAAATCAGATGATATTATCTCATTAATAAATATTAATTTTTAAAATAAATATACAAAAATTAATATTTTTTTAAAAATTTATTCATTAATGAGATGTCATAATCTAATTCATTTTATTAATAAGATAACATCATTCAATTCATTGATAATGTATAAAATTTATATGCTGACAGTATATCAAATATAAATTCTTATTTCATCAATAGTCGAAAAATAAAGTTATGTTCATAGTTCAAAGCTATGACTATGTATCATAACTTTTTTTATCGAAAATTTTTTAATATTTAAATTTGTTAAGATTTAAATTTTGAGCATTAAAATAAAAAAAATTAAGATAAAAATGAAAAAGTATTTAGTCTTTAATCATGATTAAATTAAATATTTTTTTCCTTTATCTTTTTATATCTTAATTAACGAACAAAGCGTTCACATTGTATCTCCTTTTCAAAGTAACAAGACGAAAGAGAGGCCTTTTAGAGTACTAGCGCATCACTACGAAGAAATCAAATTTGTGTTTTAGAACTAATTACCTTTGGAATTGGTATCTTTCAGTCATGAGCTTTTTGGAATGTCCTCAGTATATATATTCCAATGCATTCGCATCTTTGGCAAATATATATATATTCTTGCGCTTTTCGCTTGCAAATGTAACGCTGCAAACGCTGCAAACCCTGCGAATGGTAATGCTTGTTGCTTCGGATCTTCAGGTGGTCCAGGAATGAAATTTTAGATAGAAAATGGATGCGTTAAATACATATTTGGCCCTAAATTTTTAAATTTTGATTATATTGGTACTTAAAGAATTTTTTTTCACATTAGTACTTAAATTTTAATTCCGTAAGTCAATTTATTCAAAAAATTAATTCCATTAAAAAAATTGACATGTTTTAAATGGTCAATCAAATAACACTGACTTTCAACAAAATTTCATGTCCTTAGTCGTAATTTTTTTCACGTCATAACATGTTGGTCACATCAAATATATAAAAAAAATTAATACTTTTATTTTTAACCAAAAAAAAAAAAAACTAACTTCTCTGAAAGTTTAAAAAAAGAAAAAGAAAAAATAATCGATAGAAATTAAAGGGATTATAATGTGGGTATTTAGGATTTGAAATCGTATGACCTTTTTTAGGTATTTAGCGAAACTGCTTTAATCTTTTTGTTTCTTTCTTTGATCCTTTTTAAATGATAGAGAGTAAATCTAACTCAAGTTTAAAATCAACAAATCATTCAAGAAAATTTTTTTGTCATTGTCGACTAAAGGCTCCAATTTGCACTTTCACCATTCCATGAAATAGAGGGAAAAAATTTAATGGCTACCTAAAATAAAAAGAGGTACTTAACAATATTAGACATTGAATTGGATTTTGAGTTTGGGTTAATATTGAAATTTGCCTCCTCTAAAATTTACAGTCAAATATCCTAACTTCTGAATCAATTTCTCATTTTATGAGTCGATTTTATGTTTTCACTTTCAAACCTTTAACCTACACTATCACTAATCTAAACCCCCAATTTCAAAGACCCATAAATTGCTCTAAATACAAAATCTCCTAATTGATTACATTTTTTGAAATGGTAGCCCTAAACACAAAACCTCCAATTGATTATATTT